TTTTTTTTTTTTTAGCTATATTCAATAATTTCACCTTGTTTTTCTCTGACTAGATCAGTAAAATAGCTCAGTTTCTAGAACAGCTTGCTGTTTTAAATCCTATAAGAAACTTTAGTATAGATGTAAAGGAAAAAAATCAGATTTTTGTTTTATTTTTATTTTGGCATCCCTTTTCATTATTGATTGGTTGTTCTGATGGACTGCTTTCTTTGCAGGTGTGGTTTCAGAATCGCAGAGCCAAGTGGAGGAAGAGGGAGCGTTTTGGCCAGATGCAACAAGTGCGCACGCACTTTTCCACTACTTACGAACTGCCGCTTCTTACTCGACCTGAAAACTATGCACAGGTAAGGATATTAGAGGTCAAACAGAAAACAGTAGTTATCAAAAAAAGTGAAGTGATTAATATTTCAACCCAATCATTTATGTGTCCTGTAGACGATTTATGTAAAATCCAATGAACAATGTGAACCTCACTGGGGAGTGGCGTCCTAGTGGTTAGGGCATAGAGCTTGGAATCCTGAGGTTCTGAATTCGAGCCCCACTCCCACAGACTGCCACTCTGGGTCCCTGAGCAAGACCCTTAACTCCACAATGCTCCCTGCTCCTGTCAAACTCACCCATCAAAGTTAGGGGGCGGTTATCTAACACCTGATTGGTCACCCTGCACATTAAGGTGAAGCAAATCGATTACAGAGACTCGATTCGCGTTAACCCCGCCCCCTAACTTTGATGGGTGAGTTTGACAGATTCTTTTAATGGTTTCGATGCACTGTGACACAGGACCATGAAATAATTAAATGCACACTGAAATAATTATATATATTCTTTTAATAAAATGAAGACGTACTTTATTAAATTAATGACACATTTATATATTTAATTCCTTATTTATTTAATGAATTACACATTTAATTGTTTATCACTGTATTTATTTATTTAATTGTGGAACTTTATATTAGTGACGTGGTTTTAATTAATGAATGACACATTTATTTATTTAATTCCACATTTAATTAATTATTGACACATTTATTTATTTATTTAATGCTGTATTTATTCATATAAATTTGGCACTTTTTATCCTCCATAGTTTTAAATTCATTTAGAAGTATTTATTGGGCATAAACAAAGAGGGAGTCAAGTTTTCTATGTTGTGATGAAGTTTGCCCAGACTTAAAATGGTCACTATATATGTTTTTAGGAGATTTGATGTTGTTTTAACGCACAAGATACTTTTACAACTATTTAATTGTAGTCTGGAAAAGAGTTGACAGTGCTTAACATTCACAGGTTAGTATTTAGTCTTAGGTTATATAAAGAGGCATAAGGATTAGAGAGTAGGAGGGCTACAGATAGCACCTTGGATTTAAAACCAACAACCAACAACAGCTTTAAAAGCTTTCTTTTACTTTAACTCCAAGTTATCTTGTTGTCTTTACAGTGACTAAACTATAGGAGTATATAAACGGATAAATATAAAATTCAAAGCAAAATGCATAAAAAAAAACTCTACTTTTTTAATGTGGAGAATTCCTTCCTAATTTATACAACCTTTTCTAACATTACTTCTCACGTCAGATGAACTTTTGTACCTCATAGGTCAGAATTTGGTTTTCTTTTTTAAATAAAATAAGTTTAATAAAGTGAAACATTTTCCTTTTTCATTTGATCGCAAGACTACAGCTACATTATTGTCCCACAAGAGAAGACATAGAACTGCTCCAATGTGATGGATGTCATGGTTGTTGCTCCTGCATCTATCTATTATATCCAGAACAGAAATTAAGCAAATGGTTGCAGCCAAACATAGAAGAGTTGAACTCATCCCCTCTAGATTATTAAGTTCTCACCTTGTGGACTTGATTCATTAATGCATTTCAATTCTACATATATAATTTATTAGAAGCAAGTACTAAACCATAATTCCTCCTCTTCTCCTTTAGATCCAGAACCCCTCGTGGATCGGGAGCAGCAGTGCAACTTCCCCGGTACCAGGCTGTGTCATGCCTTGCGATTCCGTCCCCTCCTGCATGCCACCTCACCCTCACGCTCCTGGAGGTGTCTCTGACTTCCTGAGTGTCCCCAGTCCAGGGAGCAGCCACATGGGACAGACTCACATGGGCAGTCTGTTTGGGGGTGCCGGGATCAGTGGTGGAATCAACGGTTATGACCTCAATGTTGATCCAGATCGCAAGTCCTCCAGCATAGCTGCACTGCGGATGAAGGCCAAGGAACACAGTGCAGCCATCTCTTGGGCTACATGATGTCCCAGTGCAGACCCACCCTGGTCCCTTCGATGGCCTCATCTCCAGAGCAGCCATCAGCCAGCACTGAGTAGGAGGAGAGAGTTTTTCCTGAGAGCACTAATGATAACGCAGGTCAAATGAGCAGGGGTGGGGGGGGAGACAGAGGAGATAAGGGGGGCCCAAACAGCAGCCAATCCAATCCAGATAACTGGGACAACAAGCAGCAGATGCTGCGTTTAAGACAAATACAAAAAAAACACCTTCAGCACATGTTAATTTTCTAGATAAAAATGAATGAAATGCCTTAAAATAATCATTAATAGCATCAACTACCATTGAAAATATTAGAAAAAAACAGCCTTAAATTTAGGTCATGTTGAGAAATCAAAAGCAACAAGTTACTTTCTCCCTAAGCCTTAATAATAATCATGATAGGCTGATTTTACACAAAGAAAAGCCTTTTAATAATAATTAAATAGAATAATAGAACTCTATTAATCTCACATTGGAGAAATAAACTCTCTGCATTTAACCCATCCTTTTGTGGAGCAGTGGGCTGCCATCGTGGGGTTAAGGGTCTTGCTCAGAGACCCAGAGTGGCAGTTTGTGGGAGTGGGGCTCGAACTTAGAACCTCAGGATTCCAAGCTCTATGCCCTAACCACTAGACCGCCACTCCCCCACAATCCCTTTGGTCCGATGGGAGCACTAAAATCTTTCTGGCAGCAAACAGTCCAGGTGTTTTGGAACTCCTCCTGTTCGTCCGTCGATACGATGAGGACCATCTATTCATCCTATGGTTGGGGAGGTTAGAGTCTATGAGTACGCAGGTGGCTGATCAGGCCAATCTGTGCACGGAATAGTCTTGGGCAATGTGGACAGGGAATGGTGGCGTCTGGTGCAAGATTGGCAGCTCTGATCTTCCTGGCTTGCCTGCGCTCTACAGCCACAGCGATCCGGTTTGCCTTACAAGCTTTGGCACCTTTTTGAACAGCGGATCGCCACATTCCTCTGTCTTGCGCTGCCTGCTCCCATGTGTTGTGGTCGATGTTGAAGGCCTTCAACGAGGCTTTGAGCGTGTCCTTGAAACGCTTCTTTTGTCCACCTTGGGAGCGTTTTCCTTGCTGTAGCTCGCCAAACGACAGTTTC